TGCCTTTTCTCGTTGTTCCGATCGCTACTCCCCCCCTTCACTCACCCTCACACCCACACCTCACACCCCACATCCACGACGCACCCACCCACACCCACACCCACACCCACATCCACCCCACACACCCACACCCACACCCGAAATTTAAGTACAATTCATTCGTACACGTCATTATACATGGTTTTTCGATGTTTAACTTTTATTGCGCTCTTGTTTAAGAAAGAAGAAAAAATATTGATGGAATAATGGTTTTGACGAATGTTTCCTCAAATCGATTTCAGATCATGAATATTCTATGTTGCAGGCATTTCGCAATTTCTGCCAGTATATTTTGGACCGCAGAAGCAGAAATATGAATTGCCATTGTTGTAACACGGACGATCGTTTCGGCATGGATTTGTAACGCATGACATTTCTAGTTAAAAAGAGTTAGGGAACAATTATAAAGAAGATTTTTTCAATGATTATACAAAGAAATATGCCATATGACAGAAAAATATTGACTGCGGATGGGTGTTTTCTCACTCTCCAGAAAATTTAAAAAGGAAATGCAAACTACTGACGTAGTAGTGTCGATGTTGGTGGTGTAATTGCCGGTGTTGTAATTGTCGATAATGTTGTTGATGTTAATGTCACTGTAGACGGTGTTTCTAAAGAAATAAAGAATTTCACGATGATAAATAGTTTCTAGGTCGAAACCAACAGAAGAAAGACATATGCATCTTTCATCCAAAATACATACGAGATGGTGTTGCTACTATTGGTGTTTCGCATCGCCTGCCTGTGTATCGCGGCGGGCATTCACAACGCGCTTGGTTGTTGACTGCCATGCAAGTTCCAGAATTGCAGTAGGTTGGATCTAAATACTTGCATGGTACGTTTGTCGTAGGCGATGGTGCTGTGGTAGAGACCGTCGTCGTAGCGATAGTTGTGGTTGTCTGTAATCTCTGACAACGATTACCTGCCCAACCTAATGGGCAGTCACATTTTGGTGCATTGCTCTCCAATTTGCAGATGCCCCCGTTCAAGCAATACTCGAAACATTCTACAACAATATATGATATTAACAGATAAAAAGAAAAACAGCATTCTCAAAGTTAACGACAACGATTAATATATACCCGATAGCTCTTCACAATTATTCCCGATATATGGATACAGGCAAAAACAAGCGAACTTGTTGTTCGCTACGTAACAAATTCCATCGTTTGCGCAGAAATCAGGTGGAGCCGAATTGCACGGATTATTGCGCACAGTTGCCAAATCGACATGAGTAGTGCGCACTTGCTTGGCTAACCGAGGAATATTACAACGTTCACCCGTCCATTCAGGATAACAAATGCATTTCGGACCGTTGCTGCTCTCAAGACAAACGCCACCAATGAAACAGTAGTTCAAGCATCCTTTCAAGTCGAAATTCGACTGAGCACGATTGAACTCGACCACTAAAAGAATGATGCACAAAGTGAAAAAACTCCGATAAGAACGACGAAAAACCATTGTTACAATGAAATTGACTACAATAAACTTTGGTAGCCACTATATGCGCATCTGCATGTAATTTGATCGTATCATGATTTGATCGATTCTATATGATAATATATAGAAAAACAATCTAACGAATAGAATCACCCAGCCCGTCACTAATCCTATAATGGGCGTTGCTTTCAGCGAAAATGAATCGATAGTTTGAGTAGTGTTGTCACTCCATCTAGGTATTAAGTGCACTTGTCTGCAGGCTTCTCATAAAAAACCGAGTTTTCCCACAAGATGAATAAGGGTGTCTGTATGGGTGTGGGTGCGTCGTGGATGTGGGGTGTGAGGTGTGGGTGTGAGTGTGAGTGTAGGGTGTGAGTATCGATCAGAAAAAAGAGAAAAAGCACACCCACAGGGTGTGGCTGGGTGTGTGGTGCGGGTGTGGGTACGTTGTTAAAAACTCAAACAACACCTTAGCCCATACCCCACACCACCGGACCCACACCCACACCTAACCACCCCCACCCCCACCCCCACTCCCACCCCACACCCACACCCACACCCTCCACTCACACCCACACACCCACACACCCACAACCACAACCACAACCGGGAATACAATGAATATAATGAAAATATTTTTTGAATGTGTGCATGATACAAGCACAGGNTCTATATATTATTAAAGACGAGACGTTATACTATATATTGCCTTAGTAAAATATTCAATATTTATTGCTTTATTAAATTTTAAAAACTGTGATCAGAACTTTTGGTATACCCTAAGTATTAATTCGCTGCAAGTTAATTGATGGCTAATAATAATAGTTACAAGATTCGAGACAATAATGAGGTACAACATTTTAAAAACATATTATCGTATGGCCATACTTTCATTTTGCAACTTATGAATATGACTTGATTTTTTCATATCGTCGTCTAGTCAGTATGCAGGTGGCGGCGAACAGAAACCACGAAATGAATAAATAAAATAAGATATGAACATCCATTGCAATATTTCATGTCTGTCACACTTGTGATATTGGCTTTGAAAATAGAAACGAAAAAAAAATTAAATCAATAATACACGTTCAGCTAACCATAAGTATGCTAAATATTAATCGAACTCTGATTTATGTTACATACAATAATATGTTTCGTGCTACTTCTGTTGAGTCACTTGCGTATTGAGATTTTTTCGACTAATTTTGCTCGAAAACTGGAATTGATTAAAATAGCATAAATCAACTAAGAATTAGTTCTAAAATATTTTAATAAAACTCATGATTTATCTTGTTTACGAACAAAAACTATGAATGAAAGATTAATAACAACTCAAGAAAAAAAGAACATACAATTCCAATAATTTAAAACGAAATTTGAACGATGATGATTTTCTAAAGTTGTTGTGTTTCTGTGACGATCAACAAGCTTTTAAATTAGATTTTGATGATTAAATAAGAATAAAAAGGTATGGATGTAAGTTAAGTCAACGATTAAACCCGCAACCACATTTGCAGCCGCACCCACACCCGCCGACAGCCGCAAATTATTAGTTAAAAAATCTCTTATTCTTATTTTAATTTGCAGAGAAAAAGGAAAGTAGATACTGTTGAATCAAGATAAAGTACTTTGATAATAATTGTCCGTAATCATATCATTCATCGATAGACTTTCGTCGAAAACTAGCTGTGAAGGGCCAACATTAAGAAGCAATAACCGACATTTTTTACTGACTAAGAAGATACAACAGATAGCAATAGAGATGCCCGTTTAGGTACAGATATGGTAGAAGATGCAAGTGTGAATATGGGTATAGGTATATGTGTAGTGTATGGGTACCAGAGTTCAGAGAAAGTTCTAAACTGATGATCTTTTACGAAAAATGAGCTAATCCCAATTATTCTAACAGTTCAGCTCGCGTCGTGAGCTGTATACATGAAGTCTAGTAACGAAATGAAGGTGTTCAGAACTCTTTATTATTTTCTCTTGAAATTGAAACGTTAGCAGCTTAGCCAACTATGCTGGAAGAATTAACTGCGATGCTAAAAGGCCACATATGATACTAGAGGCATTTCTGTAAACATTTTGGATGATCTAAAATGCTCGAGATGAACTGGGATACTATAGTCTGTATCTGGAATGTTCACAGTGTCAGTTGCGTTGCTAGCAGCATAACTACGGATTCTATATCATCAAAGATAGTGTTCATTTTATCCCATCTGATCCACTAGAATCCCAGAAGGTCCTTGATCTCACAAGGAATTCTTTTAGCGTCCTGGGTGGTTTTCTAGAACTCATATTTGGTACTTCTAGCACGTCTTTGACAAGATGAAAGGACAAACGTCCCATAACACCTAAGCTCTATTATCTGATTTCTTATTGGCCGTTTGTGATGCGAGCAAAGTCCTTAGAAGGTTACGCTCTGTTCTTAGAACTGTTCGAACAATGCCTCTGATCTAAACTGATCTTATGGAATAGTGTATGAATTTATTTGAGTTGAGTTCATGAACTGGAACTATCGTAAACATATTGCAGGAGAAGGTGAAAATGCACGGAAGGGTGCAGATATATCGATGTAGATATGGATGAGATCATAAATGTGATTATGATTTTACTAATGAAGTATTCATATGAAGAAAACTTTCGGTTTTTTTCGATCAAGTAAAACCGTTTTCTAAGCTGTCACATTGTACGAATAAAGTAGTTTGTACATAAGAGAAAAAATACACTGTCGACCAAAAGCCTTTTGAAGAATGATATGCAACTTTAATCGTTGAGGTACTAAAACAATATGTATTTATAGTCTTTCGAATTTGACCACAAAATCGTTAGATGAATCAACCACATAGAGATTCATATTCGAGTCAAATACAATATGTTCTGGTAAGTCGAGTCGAGGTGCAGTAGTAGTTGCCACTACAACCTTACCAATTGTTGAATTGACGCAGTACATCACCACCCGTTGATTACCTTTGTCGGCAACATACAGATTCCCATAAACATCATAGTTCAAGCCTCTAGGATTCCTAAGCATTGTAGAAGTGTCATTAACTTGTGTAAGAGATACTTTAGGTGTAGTTGCATTGAAGGCCCATAAATAGACCGTATCCGTATCTTCAGAGCTAACATAAGCTTCTGTAGATGAATATAAGGATAGTAAAAGTCCGTAGAATCCAGGAGTGGACGAAGTACCAATGACAATTATACCGCTTGTTGCGTTTGGAGTCCATTTCGTGACTCGACGGTTGCCTCTTTCAGCAACGTAAAGATTTAACTCATCATCAAGATCTAAGCCCAAAGGATATTTGAGATTGGTCAATGCTAATGAACTAGAGCCCGGTATTCCTGCAACATTGGTATTGCTGGTGAAATCTGGAGAATATCGTACCACCCTTTCATTACTATGACCTGTTATATATAGAAATCCATTCTTGTCAAAAGTTATGGATTCAGGGTGATCTCCAATAGAGCTAACATCGACCACTGTAACACCAGCTGTCGCTCCTGTGACCCACTTTTGGATTCGATAATTGTGATGGTCGGCAACATATAGTGTATCATTTGCATCAATGTAGATCCAAGCAGGATTGATGAATTGATTGGCAGCTGAACCACCTGTACCGTCACCAGCCACTATGACACCTGTTTGATTCCAACGGAGATTTAGACCTAAAATTCACCTGTCATACATGTTTTTTTTCTACGAAAAAGTTGCTCACATGAGTCAAAAAGACTGGTCGTCGTTGTTGTTGTTGTCCCTAAAAAAATCGCATTGTTCAATCACATTGTACAGGTTTAGTCATTAAGAGATGCAGTTGTAGCAATATTTAATACTATTAGTAGGCATATACCGAACCTGAACTTCTTGGAGTTTAGTCGTCCTTGGGAGTACCTTGAATCTTCAAGGCCTACTATAGGAGAACATCTTAAAATCCTCAAGTTTTCTTATACTAATATTTGTCCAGGTAGCATAAGATAATGGTGTCCTGAACAGTGAATCCTCGAAAAATGGGCTAACCAGATTGTGGGATTACATTTCTCGACGATACATAAGAAGGAGCTTTGAGCACACATCCCTCATTCGATGGAGAAAGAAAAGTTCTCCTGAAATACTATTGTTCCGTATTTTGAGCAATCAGATTTCAGGAGTCGTTTTCTTTCTTATTGTGCCGATAAGAACCAGTCCTGTTTGAGTCGGATCTGGCATTATCGGGAACGCTGTACCGATTGAGGAGTATATCGTGAGACTTGGGTGTGGGTGTGTGGATGTCGGTGTTAATTTTCTTCTGACAGCAACATCTATACTCACTAACCCACACTCACCCTAACCTATTGTAACAGTATAGATACTGTAATGATTGGTGAACTTATTGTAATCACGCATCAATAGAAGTTAAGGGAGAATAGAGAAATTCTTCTACTTCAACGTGCTCTAAGGTTGTTTCAAATTTTATCTTCGGGAATCCTTTTTAGCTATTTCAAATCTATCATAGATATGTGCCGCAGAATTACTGATTCGATGTCATTCGAACAGAATATAATCTAAGCAACAGCCGAAATACTTCACTATACTTCTCTGTGATTCACAATTCGAAGTGCAGAGAATTTCGGTGAACTACTTCGGCTTTTGGTTACGATAGATTCATACCAAATGATGTCACATCACTACTCCAGTATCATAAATCTATAATAGACTTAGATATGTAAAAAATTTCGAAGGTAAATGTCAAACACCCTTCGAGTGCGTTGAAGTACAGTCAGTTGGGACTGAAGTCCGAAATTTTGCTTCTGCCGATCTAATCGCAGCCCATATTTCTACATACCTGTTGTTGTGCTGGTGGTTTTAGAGGTTGATGTAGAAGAGATTGTCGATGTTATTGTTGTTGTAGTGCTCGTCGAGGTCGACGAAGATGAACTCGTTGAGGTGGATGAAGATGAGGATGAGCTCGTTGAGGTCGACGAAGATGAACTTGTTGAGGTCGACGTAGATGAACTTGTTGAGGTCGACGTAGATGAACTTGTTGAGGTCGATGTAGATGAACTCGTTGAGGTCGATGTAGATGAACTTGTTGAGGTCGACGTAGATGAACTCGTTGAGGTCGACGTAGATGAACTCGTTGAGGTCGGCGTAGATGAACTCGTTGAGGTTGAGGTTGAGGTCGATGAAGATGACGATGAGGTCGTTGAAGTCACTGCTATGTTTATGGAAACAGTCACGATATCAGATGTATTTTTTATATTTCACAAGTAGTGGAACGAACTTTTTAATATTCCAGTGTAACTTTAAGGAAAGAACGTGGGCGTATAGGATTGGGATTCGTCCCCTTTTGATTTTGGCTACGAATGTCGTATTTTTTGAAAGTACTAACAACCACTTTTTAGATGACTTTTGAATACTTCTAGCTACTAAGCTACAGTTTTCAGTGTTCGATAAAGCAAGGTAGGAGACATGTATATACATAGTATTCACTGAAGTTGTGACTTATCATCATGTATTTGTACGAATTGTGAACTTCTAGGATGCCAGTTTCCCTAAGATCTGTATGGTCATTTCGAATAAAACCATAACAAATTGTAGCCCTCGTATTCTTCTCTTAAGGGTACAATTTAAAAAAATATTTGTATTGCATCCTTGAAGAACAAGGTGCTCTTAGTGTGATACTCTCGAATAATGCTATACACAGAATCTGTGTCAGTGTACTTATTAGAGTAAATGGCTGACTTAAAAGTACAAGTACACCTTCTTAATGATGATTTCTCATAAGGAGATACTCGGTATCTTTATACAAATCGTCGATCTGTAGCATGAAGATGATGAGGTTATGTCTGAAGCTTGGCTACATGGAAAACAAGCCTTGTGCTCTTTAATTCTCCTCCTTGTGCGGTTATCCCTCTTTCCCCATAGTTGTATACATTTGTTCTTTAGATTGTTGATCGTCTTTATTAGTATTTCAAATAGAGATACGAGAAATTACCAGGTAAATTTGGGTTTGGCATCAAACTTTTGGGATTTGGATTTGAACTTATGTGCTATGTTTGGATTTAGGTTTGAATTTTTTAACGAGTATTTCTGCTCGACTTTGAATCTGTAGCCCAGGCTTGGCCATAGGTCTTGATTTGATTTGGACTTGGTGATAATTGATCCAAATGTCAAAACATTTGTTAGGACATGGCAAGGGGGAAACAGCGGACTTGAAGTAGAAAAGTACGCTAAAGTATGTCAAAGTAGACTACTTGAAGTAGCTCAAAGTATCACCCAAGTAGCCCAAAGCAGAAACAAGTGGCTTAAAGTAATTTCAAGTGACTTGAAGTAAATTTGAAGTCGAAAATTACCTCAAAGTAAGCTACTTGAAGTAGCTGAAAGTAACTTGAAGTAGCTTAAAGTAGCTCAACGTAGCCCAAAGTAACTTCAAGTCCAAAAGTCCGCTGTTTCCCCCATGGGATATGGTGTCACCAACGGCAGCACACTACACTAGAGGTAGAGCAGAATGAAATAACAAAGGACCCGGCCGGAATTGTGAAATTCATCATTTAAAAAAACTGAATACAGGGTTTTGTAGAGCTTAAAAAGTTACATCTAATGACATATAAGACAGACTGATTTCCATTGATTTTAAAAAAAATTACTAATATAGACTATTTTACCAATATCATTAAAAATATAGGTTGCCTATGACATTAAATGATGCTCATTGGTCACTATTGAACTATCCCAATAACTACTGTCGCCGCCAAAATACGATGAACGCGAGTATTTTTTGAATATCTCGAGAACGGAAGCAGCTATCAACCTGCGGTTTTCAGCATTCGAAACACAAATGTGGGGGAAATAAACTGATACCAAACCCATTAGGATCGCAGGATATTTTAGGGTCTCTGGAAACCTGGACTTAAGTCGGACTTTGGCGATCCAAAATTTTTCAATA